CCCTCACTCACCCAGTCAGTCTCACCTCAACCTCATTCACCCCGACTCATCACACTCACCCTCACTCACCCTCACTCACCCCTACTCAACCCTCTCACCACTCACCTTTACTCACCCTCACTCACCCCTACTCACCGTCACTCACCCATAGTCAGTCTCACCTCAACCTCACTCACCCCTACTCACCCTTACCCACCCCGACTCATCTCACTCACCCTGACTCAACCTCACTCATCCCTACTCACCGTCACTCACCCATAGTCAGTCTCACCTCAACCTCACTCACCCCTACTCACCCTCACTCACCCATAGTCAGTCTCACCTCAACCTCACTCACCCCGACTAATCTCACTCACCCTCACCCTCACTCACCCCTACTCAACCCTCTCACCACTCACCTTTACTCACCCTCACTCACCCCTACTCACCCTCACTCACCCATAGTCAGTCTCACCTCAACCTCACTCACCCCGACTAATCTCACTCACCCTCACTCACCCCTACTCAACCCTCTCACCACTCACCTTTACTCACCCTCACTCACCCCTACTCACCGTCACTCACCCATAGTCAGTCTCACCTCAACCTCACTCACCCCTACTCACCCTTACCCACCCCGACTCATTTCACTCACCCTGACTCACCCTCACTCATCCCTACTCACCCTCACTCACCCCTACTCATCCTCACTCACCTTCACTCACCGCATCTCACCCCTACTCACCCTCACTCACCCACCCTCACTCATCCCTACTTACCCCTACTCACCCTCACTCACCTTCACTCACCCTCACTCACCCCTACTCACCCTCACTCATCCCTACTCACCCTCACTCACCCCTATTCACCCTCACTCACCTTCGCTCACCCTCACTCATCCCTACTCACCCTCACTCACCCCTATTCACCCTCACTCACCCTCACTCACCCTCACTCACCCCTATTCACCCTCACTCACCCTCACTCACCCCTACTCAACCCACTCACCATCACTCACCTCTACTCACCCTCACCCACCCTCACTCACCCCATATCACAAATACTCACCTCTACTCACCCTCACTCACCCATAGTCAGTCTCACCTCAATCTCACTCACCCCGACTCATCTCACTCACCCTCACTCACCCTGACTCACCCTCACCCACCCCGACTCACCCTCACTCACCCTGACTCACCCTCACTCACCCCTACTCACCCTCACTCACACCGACTCACCTAACTCACCCCTACTTACCCATACTCACCCATACACATGCCTACTCGCCCTCACTCACCTCACTCACCCCTACCCACCCTCACTCACCCCATATCACAAATACTCACCCTAATTTACCCTAAATCACACCTGCTCACCTCACTCACCCCTACTCTCCCCTACTCACCCTCACTCACCCATAGTCAGTCTCACCTCAACCTCACTCACCCTGACTCACCCTCACTCACCCTGACTCACCCTCACTCACCCTGACTCACCCTCACTCACCCCGACTCACCCTCACCCGGACTCGCCCTCACTCACCCCTACTCAACCCTCTCACCACTCACCTTTACTCACCCTCACTCACCCCTACTCACCGTCACTCACCCATAATCAGTCTCACCTCAACCTCATTCACCCCTACTCACCCTTACTCACCCTGACTCACCGCATCAACCCACTCACCTCTACTCACCCCTACTCACCCCTACTCACCCTCACTCACCGCATCTCACCCCTACTCACCCTCACTCACCCTCACCCACCCTCACTCATCCCTACTTACCCCTACTCACCCTCACCTTCACTCACCCCTACTCACCCTCACTCATCCCTACTCACCCTCACTCACCCCTATTCACCCTCACTCACTTTCGCTCACCTTCACTCATCCCTACTCATCCTCACCCCTATTCACCCTCACTCACCCTCACTCACCCCTACTCAACCCACTCACCATCACTCACCTCTACTCACCCACCCTCACCGTCACTCACCCCATATCACAAATACTCACCCCTACTCACCCTCACTCACCCATAGTCAGTCTTACCTCAAGCTCATTCACCCCGACTCATCTCACTCACCCTCACTCACCCTCACTCACCCCTACTCAACCCTCTCACCACTCACCTTTACTCACCCTCACTCACCCCTACTCACCGTCACTCACCCATAGTCAGTCTCACCTCAACCTCACTCACCCCTACTCACCCTCACTCACCCTCACCCACCCTCACTCATCCCTACTCACCCTCACTCACCCCTATTCACCCTCACTCACCCCTACTCACCCTCACTCATCCCTACTCACCCTCACTCACCCCTATTCACCCTCACTCACCTTCGCTCACCCTCACTCATCCCTACTCACCCTCACTCACCCTCACCAACCCTCACTCATCCCTACTTACCCCTACTCACCTTCACTCACCCTCACTCACCCCTACTCACCCTCACCAACCCTCACTCATCCCTACTTACCCCTACTCACCTTCACTCACCCTCACTCACCCCTACTCACCCTCACTCAACCGACTCACCAACACTCACCTCTACTCACCCCTATTCACCCTCACTCACCCCTACTCAACCCACTCACCATCACTCACCTCTACTCACCCTCACCCACCCCATATCACAAATACTCACCCCTACTCACCCTCACTCACCCATAGTCAGTCTCACCTCAATCTCACTCACCCCGACTCATCTCACTCACCCTCACTCACCCTGACTCACCCTCACCCACCCCGACTCACCCTCACTCACCCTGACTCACCCTCACTCACCCCTACTCACCCTCACTCACACCAACTCACCTAACTCACCCCTACTTACCCATACTCACCTATACACATGCCTACTCGCCCTCACTCACCTCACTCACCCCTACCCACCCTCACTCACCCCATATCACAAATACCCTAATTTACCCTAAATCACACCTGCTCACCTCACTCACCCCTACTCTCCCCTACTCACCCTCACTCACCCATAGTCAGTCTCACCTCAACCTCACTCACCCTGACTCACCCTCACTCACCCTGACTCACCCTCACTCACCCCGACTCAACCCTCTCACCACTCACCTTTACTCACCCTCACTCACCCCTACTCACCGTCACTCACCCATAGTCAGTCTCACCTCAACCTCATTCACCCCTACTCACCCCTACTCACCCTCACTCACCGCATCTCACCCCTACTCACCCTCACTCACCCTCACCCACCCTCACTCATCCCTACTTACCCCTACTCACCTTCACTCACCCCTACTCAACCCACTCACCATCACTCACCTCTACTCACCCACCCTCACCGTCACTCACCCCATATCACAAATACTCACCCCTACTCACCCTCACTCACCCAGTCAGTCTCACCTCAACCTCATTCACCCCGACTCATCACACTCACCCTCACTCACCCTCACTCACCCCTACTCAACCCTCTCACCACTCACCTTTACTCACCCCTACTCACCGTCACTCACCCATAGTCAGTCTCACCTCAACCTCACTCACCCCTACTCACCCTCACTCACCCTCACCCACCCTCACTCATCCCTACTCACCCTCACCCCTATTCACCCTCACTCACCCCTACTCACCCTCACTCATCCCTACTCACCCTCACTCACCCCTATTCACCCTCACTCACCTTCGCTCACCCTCACTCATCCCTACTCACCCTCACTCATCCCTACTCACCCTCACTCACCCCTATTCACCCTCACTCATCCCTACTCACCCTCACCCCTATTCACCCTCACTCACCCTCACTCACCCCTACTCACCCCTACTCAACCCACTCACCATCACTCACCTCTACTCACCCTCACTCACCGTTACTCACCCCATATCACAAATACTCACCCCTACTCACCCATAGTCAGTCTCACTTCAATCTCACTCACCCCGACTCATCTCACTCACCCTCACTCACCCTGACTCACCCTCACCCACCCCTACTCACCGTCACTCACCCATAGTCTCATCTCAACCTCACTTACCCTCACTCACCCCGACTCACCCTCACTCACCCCTACTCACCCCTACTCACCCTCACTCACCGCATCTCACCCCTACTCACCCTCCCTCACCCTCACCCACCCTCACTCATCCCTACTTACCCCTACTCACCCTCACTCACCTTCACTCACCCCTATTCACCCTCACTCACTTTCGCTCACCTTCACTCATCCCTACTCACCCTCACCCTCACCCCTACTCAACCCACTCACCATCACTCACCTCTACTCACCCACCCTCACCGTCACTCACCCCATATCACAAATACTCACCCCTACTCACCCTCACTCACCCAGTCAGTCTCACCTCAACCTCATTCACCCCGACTCATCTCACTCACCCTCACTCACCCTCACTCACCCCTACTCAACCCTCTCACCACTCACCTTTACTCACCCTCACTCACCCCTACTCACCGTCACTCACCCATAGTCAGTCTCACCTCAACCTCACTCACCCCTACTCACCCTCACTCACCCTGACCCACCATCACTCATCCCTACTCACCCTCACCCCTATTCACCCTCACTCACCACCTACTCACCCTCACTCATCCCTACTCACCCTCACTCACCCCTATTCAACCTCACTCACCTTCGCTCACCCTCACTCATCCCTACTCACCCTCACTCACCCCTATTCACCCTCACTCACCTTCGCTCACCCTCACTCATCCCTACTCACCCTCACCCCTATTCACCCTCACTCACCCCTATTCACCCTCACTCACCCTCACTCACCGTTACTCACCCCATATCACAAATACTCACCCCTACTCACCCATAGTCAGTCTCACTTCAATCTCACTCACCCCGACTCATCTCACTCACCCTCACTCACCCTGACTCACCCTCACCCACCCCTACTCACCGTCACTCACCCATAGTCTCATCTCAACCTCACTTACCCTCACTCACCCCGACTCACCCTCACTCACCCCTACTCACCCCTACTCACTCCTACTCACCCTCACTCACCCCTACTCACGTCTGTTGCGGGTGGGGAGGACGAGAGAAATGGAGTCGCGATTCTTTTCGTCGTTCTAATCGTCAAATCGATTTTCATAGAGCCCCCAACGGTCTTGAAATCGATAAAGTTGTAAACAGCGCGATTATAATCGCCATATCCTCGATCCTTTTTAATGAATTCGGAATCGCGATTCCGTGTAAATATCTGTCTGCATTGATTCTTATTCCAGCTCCGATTTGCACGGTTGGCTACGTACGGTGCAAAAGTAGTGCTCCGTGTTGTACATACAGCACATGGCATCGATGCGCGTCTGTGAATGAATCTCGATAAGGAATCGCTACTGCTCGTGTCACTCACGCTAAGAGTCGATGGGGATTCGCGACTCCACGCCCTTCGACTCACAACGTTGTGAGTCGTTGGGTCGCGGTATGAGTGGAGTCGCGATTCCATAATCTTGGGATGTCCGCATTGCTACCATTGTGGTGATTCCAGCGCACTCTAGCGGCTGGCGGCGGGGGTTGATGTGAACCTATTCCGCATCAGACGTGTATGAAGATCAATGTGATGTTGTGGGGGGCTAACGTCCACCTTCCCGCTCCCCGTGAGCGGGCGGGCACGACGTGCCCTCTCGGAGGGACATCGCTCACTGGCTGGCTCACCACCACCGAGGGGTTATTACTACGCGTGCGCCACTATGGGCCCCCTTCACCCCACAACACGTCCGCACTCGCGGCGTTCCACCTGCCCGCGCTGATTATGTCTATGCTGCTGATTCTGTCTATGCTGCTGCACCCTGCAGCTGCATTAGCTACTGCTCCATGGGTCTTATTTCTGGGAGGTATTGAGCTTCACCTTGGCCCAAATGTAAAGAACTCATTTAATTCTGTAGATTTTTCTGGCAGAAAAGGTGTTGGTGTTCTACATGTCAACATCAGAGAATTGCCTTACAGAAACATTTCTCACTACGGCTGTCAATGACTTGTAGATTACGATTGACAACTACAACCTTTTTCGACTTGACCGAGGGTCCAAAGGAGGTGGAATTGCCATTTATGTTCGTAGTACTATTGCATGTTCATCAGCTCAGTCCTTTTTAAATATTGCTTTGAAAGTCTGGCTCTCAGAATCACTCTCCCTAAAAATCAACAGATATTGGTAGTGTGCTGCTATAGACCACCTAGTGGTAAGGATGTTGACGCTGGGAACGCACTGAGGGAGCTTCTTGGGGACCTTCCTAAAGGTGAAATCATTTTAATGGGTCATCTCAATTGGAATTGGCTAAACCCGCAGGCCGTGGCCACAAATTTTGCAGATGAATTTAACCTATTTCAATTAATAAATGTCCCCACAAGACCCAACCTAAAAAACCCAGGACAGTAATCTCTGCTTGACGTACTATTAACAAATGCCCCTCACAATTTCGCGCTGACTGGTGTTCTGGGTAATAACCTTAGTGATCACTCCTTCATATTTGGGGTGAGATCATCAGCCAGACCCAAAGCCCCACATAAATTGGTTTAGAAGCACTCCATGAGACACTTCAGCATTCAGGCATTTACTAATGATGTGCTTCACTCGGATATGGACAAGGTCTGTGATATCCCCACCCTGACTACGGCTTGGGAGATCTTCAGTTACACATTTCTCCAAATTCTTAACAAACATGCTCCGTTGGTTAGATTTAAAACTAAAGGCAACCGCCCACCATGGTTTGATCCCTTGATTACTAAGCTCATGAAAACTAAGGACAAGGCTTGGGCATGTGCTCAGAAAAGTAATTTGGTCCATGACTGGCTAGAATACAGGATTTTAAGGAATAGATGCGTAAAAACACGGCAAGCAAAACATGCATACTTTTCCTTCACTCTCCTGGAATCACATGGAAATGTCAGGATCTTCTGGAAAACAATCAAAAGTATCGAAAAGGCATCTAACACAGATAATCTGCCCGTTCAGCTTAACCGAAATGGGGAATATTTTTCAGAGCCCCAAAAAATAGTTGACAATTTTAACCTTCATTTTTCTGAAGCTGGTGACGTTTTTGATAATGTATTGGGAATCACCCCTGCGCATGCAAATTCCTACACCCCTGTCCAAACATTAAACGAATTTAGTTTCCAGCCTATCCACGAAAGTAATGTTCTGAAACAACTGTCCTATCTCAAAGGGTCCTCCTCTACCGGAGCAGATAGTATTCCCGTCTTTGCTCTGATAACTGTTGGTCACCGAAATATACAAACCTATAGCCCATATTTTCAACCTGTCCATCAAAGAAGCATCAGTACCTCTAGAATGGAAACATTCCTATGTTCGTCCACTTCACAAAGGGGACCCTAAAGCTGATCTAAATAACTACCGACCTATCTCAATTTTGTCCCCATTGATGAAAATTTGCAGTTTCCTGTCCGACAACAATCTATTACATCGAAAACAATCTGGGTTCCGAAAAAAATACAGCACCACATCTGCTGCATTAGACTCTCTGAATCACATTTACAGTAGCCTTGATAATAAGCAGTACTGCGCCAGTCTATTTCTTGACTTATCCAAAGCCTTTGATACAGTCGACCACAACACCCTGCTTAGTAAACTAAGTTGCCTCCGTTTCTCCAAACACGCAGTAGAATGGTTAAAAACATTACCTCTCTTTTCGCACTCAAACTGTACTAACCGATGGTTGGAGGTCAAACAGTGTTAAGATAACAAAAGGGGTTCCACAGGGTTCAATCCTCGGCCCCCTCTTGTTCTCTCTTTATGTCAATGAATTGGGCACTGTCCTGGATCATTCCAGAGTTTGGTAATACATGTTGTTTACGTCGTTAATTGTGAAAATTCGGTCACAGTTCCTATGATCACAGTTCATTGCTTTTATGACTTTATTTGGGTGATTTTTTAAAAGTTTTTCGGTTTGGCCATGTTTGTTTGTTGTAGTACAGAGTTAGACTGATGGCCTTAATCTAAGTTGTCTTGTGGTTGTTGTTGTTTGACTTGCATCCCACTGGGATTTTTGCACACAGTGTTGGTGTACGGTGCTTTTTCTGCAATATTTTGCTGTCTTTCCTTGAATTTTCTGTTTGCACATAGTCACTTTAAGATGTTTTCTTGTTCATGTTTTAGTTTTTTTGTTTGTTGCGGTTGCACCCGATTCAAGAGCCGAATGGCTCACAGGGCTATCTTCTTCTTTTTATTTTATTTTATCTATAAAAGTCTCCGCACGCTCGCGCTTGCGGGGGATTTGGCTCTCAAACAGTGGGCTTTTCATCGAAAAAGAATTGCCAGGCAGCACGCCTTAAGCCCCGCGGTGGGAATATGCTATTCCGTTTTCCCATCCGTAAACTTTAAAGTAGTTTAATGAACACATTTGTGGCATTTCTTTTTATTATTATTTACTTATTGTGCGCCGTCGACCGTACCAACTGACGACAATTTCGTGGGGGCGGGGGGCGGACCCTACCAAGTGCTGCGCGTTCGCTCCAGCTCACGGGGGACATTTCATTTTACGCTTTTTACAGGCAACACATACACACATCACGCTGCGGATATTTCTTCACAGTGTCATGTCCTCTTAAACCCCCCCCCCCCCTTTTTTAACACGATGCGTCCAGTTTATATTACAAACTCCCTACATAACCATATTTTAGTGCTTACATACCATTATTCTTGCACGGGCGGGGGATGCTGGGGGGTGTGGGGGTAACGGCCCAGCCCCTAGCCTGGCAACGTGCCAACTCCACCGCCTCGCCAATGTAGGCCAGCACGGGGGCTACGCATGCCACAAGGCCTCAACACGGCTATGGTAAGTACTTATTTCCTTGCTTCTTACGCTAACAACTCAAGTGCATTGTTTACTATTGTTAAACACATTAGTTCACAAACATTACAATAATAATGTTTGTGTCATGATAAAAATCCGCTTAATTGCTTAGTATTACGAAACAAATACGTTGCCAGATATTACTCTTTTTATCTTTGTGTGCACATACCAACTCTGGCACATTGTTTACTATCATTCAACCAATCAGTTGACAAATCTTACTATAATAATGTTTATGTGCAGATAATAACTCACGTTCATTGCTTACTATTCTGAAACAAATGTTTGCCGATATTACAATAATTATGTTTGTGTGCAGATAACAACTCAGGTGCATTGTTTACTATTATTAAACAAGTTGCCAGATATAATAATGTTTGTGTGCACAACACTTTTTTAAATTTTAGGTTGCTAAATTCTCCCTTTCTTTGCTGCGCTTTTATGACCCTGCCATGGTCTACTGTCAGTCTGTGATATGGCCTGCTGCCTGCTGATTCATTAACGTCAGTGCACTGCCAAACTATTATCTACACTGCTCATTTTCCTTTTCACCATTATGAGTGTGTAATAACACGCTGGAGACGGCTTGTGGAATCGGTCCTTTTATTTCACTTCTTGCAGTTCACAAACACTTCCCGTTGTTGGCAGGCAACGGGAAGCGGGCAGACAGCCACCAGAGACACACCGCCACGTGGCCCCTCTCTCTCTTCGTTCCGTGTCTGATCACGTGTCTCTCCTCTCTCCCCTTATTTAACGCCTGGGTCACGTGGTACACTCCAGCCAATCCTCAATAGCCTGCGCCGAATGTTCCAGATTCCCCATCAACTCCCGGGACCACGCCCGTGACTTGTCTTCCCATTGGCTGAGGCCAAGACCAGCGAAACCAATCACCTAGCTGAGATACCGTGATCACGCCGAGGCCATGCTCCCAGGCTCTCCCCCCATTGGCTGTAAAGCGGGACCGGCAAAGCCAATCACCACGTGAATCCGACATAGGCTCTTATTACAAGTGTATGCCAGTATATAATCTGTTGCCTGCTTCTTTACCTCACTCAGTGTACTGCCAGCCTTTCATGTCGACTGTAGCTATGCTTATGTCATTGAGTCGGCATACTGCAAGTCTATAATCTCGACTGTAGCCTGCTTCTCAACTTACCTGTGCGTACTGCTGCTCTTTCATTTACACTTAATTCTGCTTATTTTTTAAAAGCATTTATATTGTTTCCATTGCTACCTCACGCTATTTACTTATACGTTGTACTGCGATACTGATAGCTGTGCTATCATCGGGAATTGCTGTGCCCGTTGATGTGTGTCAGTTGATGT